TATTTTTTCCCTCTCTTTCACGTTCGACGCAGCCATGTCGCAGCCGCACTCCTCCATGGCGCCGATCATCTCTTCCGGTGAGTCCTCGCCTCTTTCTTCTGCTACGGACACACCCACCACTGGTGCGATTGACACCTTCTCTTCGTCAATCGTAACCGATACTGCTCTGGAAGCCTCTCAACCGGTGCCCTATTCAGTTTCCATGGCGTCGGACCCTCATCCGTATTCTGCCGGATCATCATACTCTCTTTTCGAAACCTTGCCGCCACACCTTCCATGGCAGCAGGTTGGTTTTGGTCTGCCTCCGGCAAATCCAGAGCCACGACCCCAGGTTATGTGGCAGCAACCTGGTCCAGTTTCTTCCCTGATCGCCTCACCTTTGCAGCTGCAGCCGGTCATTCCTCCGGCGGCACCGAATCAGCAACCCGTCAGCACTCCCTATTTCGGGCCCTCTTTTGCTGGTTCGTCGGGTGTAGTTCGTCCCGCACATGATAATCCCCTTTTTGGTTCCCCGATGGCAGCAATGGCACAATCACTTTCACACGGCATTGCCAATGTCAGCCAGGTTGTGACTATTAAGCTTAAAGCGGTGGAAGACTACCTTACATGGTGGACGCAGTTCGAGTCATTCCTCGTGTCACAGTGTCTTTTTGGCATTGTAGACGGCACAATTCAGGTACCTCCCATGTACACTTTGTATTTTAATAATCAGCGCATCGTTAATACTGATTACTATCATTGGCTTCGGGTGGATCAAACAATCCGCTCTTGGTTGTTTGCCACTCTTACTCGGGATGTATTAACTGATGTTCATGATATTAAACATTCCTTTGGTATATGGGCACGGTTACAAACACGCTTTATGTCTGCCAGTTTACCTAGAGCTACGGAACTCAAACGATTATTGTCCAATACTAAAAAGAAGCCAAATCAATCTATGGAGCATTATTTACTTGATATAAAAAATTGTCTGATGCTTTAGCTGCCATAAACTCACTTGTGACTAATAAGAAATTACTAGAAAGCACACTTCGTGGATTGGGGCCTGAATATCAATTTGTTACGGGAACCATGCAATTATTTCCTGAAAGTTTTCCACCCGATATCCTTCACCCACGGCTCATGGAAGCCGAACAACAAGTACTACATCTCCAGGAGGAGGCTTCCTCATTGCAGCCAGCGTTTGGGGCTCATGTGGGTCACTGCCAGCCCCACAGTCCACAGGGACAGCAGCCCGGACAGGGCGCATACCGTGGCAGAGGAGGCCGCGGTAGAGGCGGCCGTGGCAGAGCAGGCCGTGGACGAGGTCGATTCCAGCAGCAGTAGCCCTATGGTCAGCCGGGATACCCACAGCAGCAGCAGCCAGTTATTCGGCCACCACTCCAGCACTCGGTCGCAGGGGGTGTGTATAACCCGAGACCCACTAATGCTCCGTCTGGTAATTCTGTCTTGTCCATTTTAAATATTAATGCTACATCTACTTCTGGTACTTACTCACATTATGCAGGTTTCCCATCCGCTGAGGGTATTCTTGGGTCAGTTCCATCCCCGGTTGTGTGTCAAATTTGTTTCTCTGCAGGTCATTCTGCATTACATTGTCCGTCTCGCTTTTCACAGTCTGCTACACCTGCCTTGATTGCTCCAACTGGGGAAACTAATGATGCTTTTTCTGAAGGTATTTTGTCAAATAAATCCCCTTATTTTGGCTCCATGTCTGTTATTGTTGCAAATGGCATTAAACTTCCCATAGCTAATATTGGTAATATTACATTAAATACTCCTGGCCGCCCGTTGTCATTAAACTCTGTTTTTCATGTGCCTCAAATTAAATTCAATTTAATTTCTATTCAAAAGTTGTGTGCTAATAACAACTGCATTGCTATTTTTGATAAAAACTCTTTTGTTGTTAAGGACAAAATTTCGGGGGCAGTTCTTCTTCAGGCGCGTCATAATGGTCATCTCTACCCAGTCAGCCTCAGTCCTCCTGCACCATTAGCTCTTGCTTCCGCTATTACTTCTGGCCCTGTGTGGCACCGTAGATTAGGACATTGTGGCGAATCTGTTTTACGCCTGTTGCGTGGTAGAAAACTTATTTCTCATTCTTCAAATTTTGAACATGATTGTCGTTTGGGTAAATCTCAGCGATTACCCTTTTCAGATGCTAGTCATAATTCTACTTCTCCATTACAGTTAATTCATTCTGATGTGTGCCAATCTCCAGTTTTATCTAATTTAGGTTTTAAATATTATGTGTGCTTTATTGATGACTTCTCTCGCTTTACTTGGATTTACCCATTGCGCACCAAACATGAGGTCTTTTCTCAATTTCGTCTCTTTAAACTTTTAGTTGAAAATTTATTTAATTCTAAAATTAAAGTTTTTCATAGTGATGGAGGGGGTGAGTTCGTTAATTCTTCTATGCAACAATTTTTGGCCGAAAATGGTATTTATTTTCAAAAATCTTGCCCTTATACGCTGCAACAAAATGGTGTTGCTGAACGTAAACATCGCCATCTTTTTGAACTTGCTCGGACTATACTTATTACAACTTCAATTCCTAATACTTTTTGGGTGGATGCTATTTTTACGGCTGTCTATATTATTATCAGACTACCCTCTCCTACTCTTTTTGGTGCTTCACCATATGAAAAACTATTTCACAAAATTCCTGACTATAGTTTGCTTCGTGTTTTTGGGTGTGCTTGTTATCCGAATTTTTCTGCTTCTTCTTCCAACAAATTTTCACCACGTTCTGTTCAGTGTGTTTTTCTTGGCTATGCATCTGGTTTTAAGGGGTATCGCTGTCTTGACCCCAAATCTGGCAAGGTTTTTATTAGCAGGCATGTTCGTTTTCATTAAAATATTTTTCCATATGCCACTTTGTCTTCGTCTACGGGTCATGAATCTCCATCTTCTTAATCTATTCCCGACGATTTTACCCTTATCAATACCACACCTCACTCTATGCCTCCAGCCCCCACCATATCTCTTCCATCACCCACTGAACACTCCAATACAATCCCCACGCCCTCAGCTCTTCCTACTTCACCAGGGCAAACCAATGCTCAAACACCTCCCTCCACACCAAATTATAATTGCCGAACCCCATCAATACCAAGCCCTCACCCGACTCCACCTCCAGGCACTCCCTTACCTGCCTCTCGGTCTGCAACTCCGTCCCACAAATCAGATGCGCCTGAAGCAGTCTTCACCCGTCCTGATAATGCTCCAAGTGTGCAACCGCAGCTACCGGCCAGTGCACCAGATACATCTTCCTCTGGTCCGCTGGCTAATTGTCACCCAATGCAAACTCGGGCTAAGTCGGGCATTTTTAAACCCAAAATGATTTTTAATTTAAACACAGTTGTTTTATCAGACGATCCAACTTGTTATTCAGAGGCTAACAAACAGTTAAAATGGCGTGAGGCAATGGCGGAGGAATTTAATGCTCTTATTTCTAATAATACTTGGGACTTAGTTCCGTTTGATCACACTAAAAATGTTGTGGGCTCTAAGTGGATTTATAAGACTAAGTATAATTCTGATGGCTCTATTGAGCGTCACAAAGCTCGATTAGTTGCTCAGGGGTTTAATCAACAGGAAGGTGTGGATTTCTCTGAAACTTTTAGTCCGGTTATTAAACCCACCACAGTTCGTATTGTTCTTACTCTTGCTATTTCTCTTGGATGGGTTATTCGTCAGTTGGACGTTAAAAATGCCTTTTTGCATGGTCATCTAACTGAGGAGGTATATATGCGTCAACCGCGGGGCTTTATTCATCCTCATTTCCTAATCATTTATGTCGTTTGCGAAAAGCCATTTATGGGCTCAAGCAAGCCCCGCGGGCATGGTTTCATAGGTTTAGTAGCTTTCTACTTTCTCATCATTTCACATGCAGCAAGTCTAATAATTCATTGTTTATTTTTCGTCAGAATAATAATGTCATTTATTTATTACTTTATGTTGATGACATCATTATTACTGGCAATTCTTCTGCGGCTATCACATCTTTTATTCAGCTTGTTGCTCAGCATTTTGCTATGAAGGATCTTGGTGATCTTCATTATTTTTTAGGAGTACAGGCTGTCCGCTCAGATAAAGGTTTGTTCCTATCCCAGCATAAGTATGTTTTTGATCTTCTATCTCGATTTCATCTCCATACTCTCAAGTCTGTCCGCACTCCGCTTGCTACTCGCACATCTTTATCCCTCACTGATGGGGAACTTCTTGCTAATGCTACTGAGCATCGTAGTATGGTTGGTGCATTACAATATTTAACTTTGACACGACCTGACATTACCTATGCTGTGCATTTAGTATCTCAGTTTATGCATGCTCCTCGTACTACTCATCTTTTTGCTATCAAGAGAATTTTTAGATACTTGCAGGGGACTATTGAGCATGGTTTGTGGCTTCAGCCTACATCTCGAGCTACTTGTGTAATTGCCTACTCTGATGCTGATTGGGCTGGCTGTCCAGATACGTCCCGCTCCACAACTGGTTTTGCAGTTTTCTTGGGCGCGAATCTTATCTCCTCGAAGTCCAAAAAGCAGCCTACTGTCTCCAAATCCTCTACAGAAGCTGAATATAGGGCCATTGCTTACACTGTTCAGGATACCCTGCATATACGTTCCATATTGTTTGAGCTCAACTATCCCATTGCTACGCCGATCCAGCTTTTTTGTGATAATATTTCTGCTTCTTATCTCACTGCTAATCCAGTTCAGCATGCTCGTAGCAAGCACATTCAGATTGACTATCACTTCGTCAGGGAGCGTGTGGCTCATGGAGATCTAATTGTGAAGTACATCCCTACTCAGTTACAGTTAGCTGACATTTTTACTAAAAGTCTTTCTAGTCTTTAATTTCATTTTTACTAATTGTGTGTCGTATCTCGCGCACAATTTGGAGGGTGTAATAGAATATTATGAGGAAGATTTGTTTCCTAGAATATTATTAGGAAGATTTGTTTCCTATTCTGTATCAATCTCAATTTAGACGAAGAAGGGTCGACATATCCTCTCAACTGGGGTTTCAGCAAAACTTCAATGGCCGCTCACACGCTGTCATACATTTCGATCCCACCTTCACAGTGCTGCAAAAGACCAACTCCTGAGAACTCTTTAACTCCCAACCTGAGAGCTCTATCTTACTCTTTTCTAGGGCGGGGACTCTCATTTCGTGTTTCCAATTTGAGCTCCCCCACTTCAAAACGACGTAGTTTTACTTCTGCGACACTCACGCCCACCCTCCCATCTTCGTAATCTTCAGCGCTTACTCGCTCGTTCCGTTAATCAATAGTGCAAGATATGCAATTTATGACTCTCGGTTCATTTGGTTTTGCAGAAATGCAGACACTGCAGAAAAAGCTCCTTCAAAACAGCCCAAGTGAGTTTTATGTATGTTTTATATCCAGTTATTATATATTGGGGGTTATGCGTTATGAATTCTGATTATAGCTTTAGTGTGCTGTGTAGATGGTCAGCAAGGGCGATAAAGTCTTTTGCAATGGGTGAACTTGAAGCTAGAAAGCTAAGGTATCTCAACATGGGCACTGAATCTTTGCTCATGGGTATCTTGGTTGAAGGTTAATATTCACTTATCCCATCAAGATTACTGTTTTTTGGGCTTGCATCATTAATAGATACATGCATTGAGCATGATCACAGGCTTAGGTAGGTTTCTTGTTCAAATCACCCAATGCATATGTGATATGTATTCACCTGCTGTATAAAAATCATGGGTCTGTTGATATTAGAACATTGTATTTTAGTTAGATGATTCTTTAAAGCTCTATTTGGAACATGGAATATATTAGGTAAAGAAAGTAGTGAGGATAACTGGAAGTTCTTTTGGGGTGGGGCGGGGGAATAGGCTTACACTCTCTAAATTTATTAGAAATTGCCCTGAATAGGAGTAAAAACGTTTTAAAATTCCAAAATAGGACTTTCATGTTTTTATTCCCTAAATAGGAGTAATTCTGCCAAGTTTGGGAAAAAATGCCATGTTTAAAGCCTAGTAATGCCAAACTTGGTAGAAATTTACTCCTATTCGGGGAATAAAAAACATGATAGTCCTATTTTGGAATTTCAAAACTTATTTACTCTTATTTAGGGAATTCTCTCTAAATTTATTTCAGATATTTGTTCAGATTCCTCTTATTTATTTAGCTTTATTATACAAAGACTATGAAATCTGAATATGTAACCACAACAACAACATCCAAGGCTTAATCCCATAAGAGTGGGGTTGGCTAACCTAAATACATGCTTATGATACATGAGTTAAAAATAATAAATAATACTACAACAACATCCAAAACTTAGTCCCAAAAGATATTGGGGTCGGCTAACATGTATCGATACATGATATCACAACCAAAAGGAAAAGAAGGAATAAAGATAAAAAGATAAGCTATTATGAAAAGATAATATAAAAAAGATGAATATATATAAAAATGATAAAATAAAAAGGCTGCAAATAATGCTTATATATATAAGGATAAAAAAAACTAGGAAAAAAAAAGATGAGGGAAAAAGATTATCAAGATCACTCCTTCACGTGAATACCCACCCTCCACTTAGTTCTCTCCAAAGTCATGCCCTCATCCAACCCCAGAAGAAGCATATCACTTCGAACTCCCCTAACCCACGTCTGTTTGGGTCTTCCTCTCCCTCTCTTCCCTGCCTCTTCTCCACACATCTCAACTCGCCTAACAGGTGCATCACTCAGTCTTCTACGCACATGACCAAACCACCGTAGGCGTGACTCCCACATCTTGTCTTCAATAGGTGCTACTCCCACCATTTGTCTGATTGTCTCATTCCTCACGCGGTCCTTCCTAGTATGCCCACACATCCAACGCAGCATGCGCATCTCTGCCACACTCATCTTTTGAATGTGACATTGTTTCACCGCCCAACACTCTACGCCATACAGTAATGCAGACCTAATTGCTGTCCTATAAAATTTACCCTTCAGTGAGTTCAGTTTAGTCGACATACCTCGGTCGCATAGAAATCCTGACGCACTCTTCCACTTCATCCACCTTGTTCTGATTCTATGGGATACATCTCCATCTAACTCACCGTCCTTCTGAATTATGGAGTCCAAGTAACGGAACATATCGCTTACTGGTATCTCCTTACCATCCAGAGTAATTCCGCTATTACCACTACTTCTACCTCCACCAAACTTGCACTCCATGTACTCTGTCTTGCTCCGACTTAGTTTGAAACCTTTATTCTCCAATGTTTGTCGCCATACTTCCAACTTTGCTTTAAGACCTGATTGCGTCTCATCAATCAATACAATATCGTCGGCAAACATCATGCACCACGCTATATCGTCTTGAATTGACTTCGTAAGTTCATCCATGACTATGGAAAATAAGAAAGGGCTCAGAGCCGATCCTTGGTGCACTCCGATAGTAATAGGGAACTCTTCAGTCCTCCCTACACTAGTACGAACACTTGTAGTACAATCCTCATACATATCCATGATGATGTTGATATACTTGTGTGATATGCCTTTCCTAGTTAAAGCCCACCAAAGAACTTTCCGAGGTACCCTATCATATGCCTTTTCTAAGTCAATGAACACCAAATGCAGATCCTTATGAGCATCTCTATACTTCTCCATAAGTTGCCGAAGAAGGTGAATGGCCTCAGTTGTTGAACGACCAGGCATAAAACCGAATTGATTCTCTGAAATCTTCACAGTTCTTTGAAGTCTTTGCTCAATCACTCGCTCCCGAAGTTTCATGGTGTGACTCATAAGCTTAATCCCTCGATAGTTGGCACATTCTTGTACATCACCTTTATTCTTAAATAAGGGGATACGAGTGCTCTTCCTCCAACTCGTTGACATCTTGTTGTTTCTCCAAATCTTGTTGAAGAAACTTGTTAATCACTCGACGCCTCTCTTTCCCAAACTTCTCCAAGCCTCGGTCGGTATGCCATCTGGACCCACTGCTTTCTTCCGTCCCATCTTCATTTTGTAGATAAGTCTTGCCTTCTTGCCCATTTAAAGTACCATTGTTTTAATTATATGTGTGCACATCCATTAATCGTGATGATGTGCATCGATTCATATCATTCTTATTTCAGGATAATTATTTTCACGATCTTTTCCCATATGTATTTTTTACATTCATCCACAGAGAACCCTTTAAAACTTTCAAGTTTGTTGGAAAAGAAATATGAGAGGATTTTTTTTTTATTTTAAGAGGCTAAAATTTGTTATTTATTTTTTATTGGGAAAATCACACATTTGACCCCCTAATTATCCACCATATTGAAATCCCAACCCCGTGTTTAAGGTTTATTAAATGTCACCCCCGAGTTGTCAGAATAATTATAAATGTCACCCCCGTCGTTAGAAATATTACAAACTCCGTCTATCTTTCATTTTAATCAGGGTTAAACTTGTAACTTCACATCCTTTTCGTTTAAAAAGCCCTAATTCGAATTATCCCCAACCCTTTATCCCGCTTATCCTTCCAAAGTCGAAATGCTAAGCTTAATACCATACTCTGTGTCTTTTTTTGCCAAGTCTCCATTGCCATGGACGTTCGAACGTTGAAAGTATATTGAGGCCAAGATTCCGCTTTCAAGGTCGAAGCTGTGATAGAGGAAAGAAAGATGACCAGTCGAAGACTCAATGAGTTAAACGCGACTCCAAAGTGTAAGTACGCAAACCAAACTTCTTTATTGTTATATATGGGGACGTTTGTTAATGTGAAAGGCATTGACATGTATGGGTTGTATAGTATCTCAAGTTGACATGCACACACTTACATGTAAGAATTTGGTGTTGAGTGTTGGTGTCATTGTTTTGAATAACGAAAGTGTAGAACGTAAAGTGCTTTGCTCGATGGCTTCGTATTTATATGTTATTGTATTTGAAGGGTTGATTTGATATGTTAAGTGTATTTAAGGTTTCGTTTTATATGTTTTTGTATTTGTTATGATTTCTTAAAGAATGAAGTGTTTGTATTACTTGAATGTGCTTTGTAGATACAAAGGATGAGAGATATACTTACACAATCAAGATGCATTATGCTGGAGATTTGGTGCATGAACCAAGAGTTCATTATAAGAATGGGAGAATTGAGTACTTCGATTACTTTAATGGAGAAGAGGCAAGTATGTTAGATTTAAGAAAGATGGTGAAGAAGCTAGAGTTGTGTGATAGGAAGGTTGTGTTCTGATTGAAGTATGGGTCTGCCAAATTCCCTAATGTGAGAAAAATAATGACAGATGAAGACCTTTTCAACATATGTTACGAGCTTCCAGAAAATAAGGAGGTGGAACTGTTTGTTGACCATGTCATGGAGGATCAATGGGATTACGGGGTGGAGGTTTCTTCTTTTATAGCTGATGAGGTGCAACAGAAAGATGATGTACAAGACAAAGATGATGACAACACTACCATGAGCAACACTTCAAGATCTACTACAAATGCAAACACATTTGAAGACACCATGTATTCTATGGGAGTGGAAGACAATGACACAGATACTGCCACCAGTGCCATGAACAACAATGAGTTTGTAGATCAAGGAATGCAAGATTGGGAAGAGAATGATTGTGTATATTCTGAAGATGACTTAAGAAGCTTGGCTTCAGATTCTGATAAGGAGGACACTGGAGAAGCTTCTGTGTTTGAAGAAAGAGACTTGAAGAAGGATGGCTTCAAATTTGCCCTTGGTATGAAGTTCAAGAGTTTCTCAGAATTCAAATGGGTTGTCACATACCATGAAGCTAAAAACAACAAAGATATAAGGTTCCCTAAGAATGAACATGTCACGTCCCGGACCGCATCCGAGCACGTGTACAACCGTCGTGTGATCAAGTGACGTCACTCGCAAGTCAACCTCACTTTATCACACAAGGCGTTCATGAACATCGTTCATACCATACTCAGTAAGTAAACATACATAACAACATCACATCATAGATTGAATGAATAGCGGAAAATATTCATCGGTCAATCATAAGCCACATATGGCAAAACGTAGGCTCACAGGCCAAAACAAAGTAATATTACAAAAGTATTCATGAGCATAGTTTATGATTTAAAACAGTAAAGGAAGCATGAACCACGTCTTCCTCTAGATTCCTTTCACCTGTGCAAAGGTGTAGACAACAAGCTCCAGCTTCAACCTGAAATGGTGCCCCCCGAAGGGGTCAGTACAAGTACCGAGCGAGTAGCAAGCTAAATGTAGACTAACCAACGTTTCAAGTATAAGACCCAAACATAGGGTGATACATATACTTATACATCTTTACCCCAAGTTACAAAAAATACATATCGGTACTTATATACACTTGGAAATACCCGACCCGTAGGTCATTGTTTATTTGGGAAAAATAATATTAGCCAATGTCCTTGACTTAAAACCCCAACCCACCCATAGACCTATGAGTGCATAGGGCTCCTCCTGTCCAAGCAAATAATCATAAGGACACCGCCCGGTCCTGAATTACGTAATCTACGAGTTTTGAGGATACCTCCCGATCCTTGGGTACTCCACCCTATATAACCGAGTTTTGAGGATACCG